CACTCTCATTGGATCAGCTACATATGCCTGCATATTATCGGTCACGGAGAAAAGATGACACTCAATCCTATATGTTCCCCCACCCTCAGGGAACCTGACATGGTATTAAGTACGCCGTAGGAGCGGCAGTAAAGGGGGCTGGTAACCTACCTCGAAATGCCAACGAACGTCGGTGGATTTTGAGAGCATCATCCGAACTGACTGATGTTAGACGACCCACCTGAGCTGACTGTGATCTCAGTGAAGAGTGAAAACAACTTAAACGTAAGTTGACCGAGTGCCCCCGCAATGATTGTAATCAGTGGTGGATGGCAAAAGAGAGTGAGATACTCGGGGTATCAGCGTTAGGTAATAAATGCCCTGAAGTTATTTGGGCCCAATAAGGATATTGGCAAGAAGAAAACAATGGTTGGTGAAGTCGTCACCGAAAAGTATGGGATGGTGATAACCCCTCGAGACAGAGAGCTAGAATGTTGGACGGAACACTCTGAAACAGTTCAAATGGCTTAGAACGACACTTCAGTTGCTCAGCGTTCAGCCTGAACCTGGATGGGACGTAGATTCTACCCCTCAAACTGTTCTCAAAGTTGCGAAGGCAGTTTCTGACTGTCATTGTCAACTTCCTCCTCCCCGTAACCACCTTTGTTTACTTTGATATCGATCTTTTTCTATCCACTCGTTATCTTCATGCTGCTCTTTGTGGCAACGTCAGCCAGGGCATTCGTGTCCCGAAGTTCTACGTTGATTTTATCCGTCTATCTCATTGTAGAAAATTCAGTGGAAATCGCCATCCCAGTAGGCTCGGGTATCCAAAAGTTGGTTAACATATAAATTTGGTAGATTCTGTCGTTCAAGAAAGATATCCTCTGAATGCCAGTGAAGTCGTCAAGGCCGAATTTTTCTCCTACAGTCTGCTTACTTCATACTTAAAGGAAAACTATACAGACAAACTAAAGGTGTTGCTATGAGTTCGCCCGTTTCACCCATAGTAGCCAACCTTCTTATGAGTAAATTCGAGGATGTCTTCACTCACTAAGGCCGAAAATTTGTCTGAGGTATTGTTATGGTGCTTGTAATTTCCCGTTGCTATAAAGGATCGAATTGGTCGACCTCTGTCGGCAGATGGGCTTCTATGCGGAAGCCTCAACACTGCTGAATGTTCATGGTTGTGTTGACCTTGATGACTAGCAGAGGAATCCAGGACGCGCATTTTGTCGAATTTGGGACCCGTTGGCTGGACATACATGGACCTCAGTGACTGTTGTTCCCGCCGAGGCTCGAATCCCAGTACCCTTCACTTCAAACGCCAAAGCGTTATCCACTAGGCCGCTGGGGCACCGGGAACAACATCACTCACGGGTACAAGTGCATCCAACTGACAGGCCCCGAATAGGAGAAAATGCGCGTCCTGGATTTCTCTGCCAGTCACCAAGATGAATGTTGGCCGAAGCATATTGATGACATTCGCAATTTTAAAACATGCCCTATAACAGGCATTCTAAGATAATCCGAACTCTGGATCAACCTGTATCAAGTTCAGCTCAGAAAAAGTGACGGATAAAATGGGACTGCCTTTTCTGGACGATTTCGTCAAGCTAAAAGAAAATAGACAAATATTTAAATTTCGACTCATCACATCCAGTTGGTGTGAAAATTTCTGTTGCCTCCAGTCTTTTATGGAGAGCACATGCTCTAACAACGGATGAAAATGAGAGTTAAAGAATTGAAATATATGAACAAAATACTTTTAGACTAATGGCTGCCTGGTAAAATTCATTCTCAAAATGGAAAGTAATGTCAAATCAGATCTTAAAACTACCTCTAAATTATGCGCCTCAATAATGATTTCCCACATAGATCACACATCGAATGAAATTAGGAGAGCGCTCAACAGATACAATATCGGATTGTCTTACAGAACATCAGGCATATTGCGGAGCATCTTAGTTTATTCGAAGGAAAAGATCCCTCCGGATTCACAATGCAAATTATGTTCGTAAAATAAAATTCTCAGACCTCCATTAGGTATACGTAGGACAAACATCTTTTGAAATCAAACCAGAAAAATGAACATCGAAGTGCTTCCACCCGAACTCCAAGAAATCAAATGAAACGGAAAGGATCTCAAAACACTTCAGCCATAGCTCTATACGCTATAATTTCAGATCATAAGGCCGACTCTGACAATATCGAAATTATTCACAAAGGCTCTAGAGGTTGTAACAAACATCTGGTAGCGGAATCTCCTGACATAGAGTCAGAATTGTCTGAGTAAGAATAAGGGAATAAGACGTAGTTTGACCTGGCCTCAACCCACCCCCAAATACTGAGATAACTAATATACAAGGGATAAGAACTTTAAACACATGTGTATATACCAATTTCAATCTGTAATTCACACACAATACACTACATATGGATATCACCTTTATTCTGCAGTTCTGACAACGCAGAATCACACATGTAGAACACACCAAGATATTTACACTAAGTAGTGAAACGTCAATTGAAACAAATTTATTTCGTTTTCCATTCATTGCGAAATACAGATACCGAAATAATAAATCCGATTTACTAACTATTTTATCGGTTATTTACATTTCTAGAACTGAGATTGGTGTTTCGGAGACTGTAAAAATGCTGACTATCAGATAAATTTCTAGCCGGCTAGGGTCGATTACGTTAGGATTTATATAAACGATTTTTATTTTTGTTTTGCCAGGTGAGTTTGCTGTATTGTAAAGCTTGTACTCAATACACAAGCCTGTGGTTTTATTTCACATCTGCCTGTTCATACTTAATGTTTGTGGATTTGTTTTTATATCCGTTCATGAATTAGCTTCCATTTTCCGTTGATGAGTACAAGACTTGACCTTAGAACTATTTCTTAAAGACCCTTGTTTGAATCGGTTGTTATTCTATTTTTTCAGGGTAAAAACGCTGTCTTTACCGGCTAAATCCACCAACTTTATGTATTGTTGCACAAATCAATTTACTGTGAATTTCTCACTAACCTTCGTAAAACCCAAAGCCGCATTGCTGTTCTCATTTCTAAATTCTGTGGTTACTTGATTCAAGACTTGTAATCTCTGCATTTATCAATCCAACAGACATATTCCCCTGCTGAGATCTGAACTAATTTCTGGGCACTAGGAATTTTGATTATCCACTTTTGTGTAATTATTTTGTTCATGAACATGTCACTAGTAATTTATTTACATGCACTAAAACATTTCCTACCTACGTAAATCAAAGTTGTCTGGTTTTTGTAAGCGGTTTTGAAACGCATCCGTATCAGAATCCCGTTTCTGTACCAAGGTTTCTGGTCAGTCGCTCATTTGATCCTGGACGATGTGTTAAACAGAAAGGAAAAGTGTTACTGGAGCACCGCGGATACTTGTCTGTTACATGGTAGGAAACCATTCCTTCGGGGGATATTTTGTTTTTAGGTTTGCTGGGTGAATTATTCCATTGGCATTGTGCAGAAACATCAACCAGTTTATCAGTCAAGGGTCAGTGACATTCGATGTTAGTTTTCCGTATGCAGTACATCCACAAGTCTCCTAGTTTGATAATTACAGTCAGTCAAGATAGGGTTTTGATCATTTGGCAACTATTCGAAAGATATAGCCCATCGGCAGTTATCAGACATCTTAGACTTTCTGCCAGCGCGTTTTCTTTAACATAGTGCATTCGTCAATAGTCATTTGGTTGCAGGCCCTTCCAATGGAAGATGTACTCACCAATATGTTTGGCGGTAAAAAGTTTTTTGGTCACCAAAGCAAAGACAAACATATTTCAGTATCATCTCGAGGATGTCATTCATCACCCATAACTGATTTTTTCCGGCATCCTTTACTGCAATATGAAAACATCATCACTTATGGTACCGAGTCAGGCTGTGTGGAAATTGTAGATAATAATAAACTGCAGAAACCACAAAATCCAAAGCTGCAATTGTTTGTGTTTGGGTCGACTGTATATCAGGTTACCTGGGGGCCTTCATTGTTTACTGTCTTATGTTCCAGAAAGGACAATGAAAGTGAAACAGCTGCTGGTGAAAGTGAAAATTTATGTAGTCCAACAAATACAACACAGGAAGATGGGAAGCTCAATGAAGATCGTTAAACTTTAGTTAGGTTTCTTTTCTACCTTGACATTATAAGTAAGGGAAAGGTTCATTGTCAGTTTGGATGCAGTCGTGCAGTGCATGATATCAGCACAAGATACCGTTCCCTGCCAGCTACCACAGGTGAAGATAAGAAGACGCATTTTTAGGACCATATCTTTTCTCCCTGTTAGCAAAGCTAATTCACTGGCAGTTACCAACCTCACTAGCCCCCAGCTCCCTCCTAACTACCACTCACTATCTTCCTCCTTAATACATCCACATTACCTATTAATTCTTCTGTAGGAACCAAACCCACGCTACCATTCGTGCAACCCCCAAATACTTTTCTTTCGTCCTTATTTCTCCCTCCTTTTCTTCTCCTTCCCTTCCTTTCCTTCTCTTCCCTTATTTTGTTTTTTCTCTTCTTCATTCTTTCACCATTGCCTTACTATTCTCTTTCATATACCTACACAGACATGAGTCACGACAGTCACTCAACCATCCCAGCAACCCGTAGCTCCCCAATCATTCTACAAATTACAACTTACTAACCCACAAAACATCCACCTCACTGAGGCTAAAAGCAAGAAAGCAGAGGGGATTTCCTCGTCTACTGTAGGAGTGAACCGAACAACTCGAACCAAGCCCTAAGAACTAGACGCGAGAGATCATAAACTATCAGTTTTCTATGCTCACACTATCAATATTGGATATATTGGATAAGAATCCAGTGGCCATCTGTTTTGATTATTTGGTAAGTGTTGGCTAATTTTCTGTTCAAGTTGATGTTTATGGCTTTTCACAGTAAAAATTTTCGAATTATCAGCAAGTATCTGAAAACAAGTTGTTTTAGTGAATTATTTCAAGTAAGTTAATTGTTTTGCATAATCAATGGTTAATTACTGGCTTGCCACTGCTTCAAATGAATCGTGTTCAATTTGGCCTTTAGGATAACGGCGGTGTCATTGGTCTTAAGATGCGGCTAACTAACGCTCTTAACCAGGAACAGAGTTGTATACTTGTATAGCTTTCTACCAGCTTAGCCCGATTAGAAGGCCACTACAACAAAATCCCTTGTCTGGATTGATCTTTACATGATCAGAACACACAGGTATATAAAATCAATTAACGCAGTTTAACCTCGTTAAAGCCTATTACTAGGCTGTAAACCAGACTTGTGTGACAGTATATGCTTTTACTTGGCCGCTCAGTCCGAAGTAGGTAAGCCGAGAACCACTATCTAAATTCCGAGTTCTCAAGGCAGCGAGCGACATTTCCAAGGGCGAACTATACTTCTTAAAATTCAGCAACAACTAGAACGCAAGCTGTCTTTCTAATTAGCTAATATATTTGAAGGTGACCCTAGTTACTGATTGATAAAAGTTGAACAACTGTTAAAAATCAGGAAGTATTATCTGATGGTTTTGTTTAATCCTTAGGTATTTAAGCGGCACCTACTTATAATCTCATATATTTGACTGAAGACATTCAGGCCGCTCAGTCGCAAGAAAAATTACAGTTGTACTCTATCTACTTGTCCCAAAATACCATTAGCTAACCAGTAGTATGTGATTTTCGATGTTGTTCACGAATCAGCTGTTAATGATGGAAATTGTTTTCAAACCAACTACAAATATGGACTTCTCTAGTATGTCAAAACAAGAATCACTGTAGTTAAGGCCATTGGAATTCTATGTTTAGTCAAACAACGTAATCCTTAATTTTAATGATGTGCGGTTAGATTTGTGTATTTTTTAACATTCGCATATCATGCAAAGACAATTATTAGTTGTAAGCAGATATCGGTCTTGGTCAGGTATCAACCAACCTATGATTGATTATGCTTCCAAACGTTATCCTTGTAAGAACCTCTAGATACATCAAAGTCTTAAGGAATTATCTGTTTGTTTAAAAATCTTATAAATATTATTTATAAAACGCCAGTTTCGAAAATGTCTTGGTTCACAATGAAGGATTCATCTAGATGGGTTTTCAAATGAAAATGCTCACTTATTTTCCAACTACAGTTCTCCAAAGTATGTTGTGTTCGCTGTAGCGAAAATATGGACTAATTGTTCACATCTGGATCTGCACAACATATATCAGTGGGATTCCTACAAACTGAATTCTGATTGTGATAAGGGTGACTGAACTATTGACTTCCGTTAAATGTGTCAACTTATTTGCCATCGAAAACATCCTTTGTTAGTGAAAAATGAACTTCGCACTGCAAACTGAGAATTTTTTTCTAAATCTATGTTGTACTTAGCGTTTCGTGTCTTCAAACATATTTCGTTCTATTTTTGTAGAATTTAAAGGTTTACCAATGTTCGAAATCCGGAAGCGACTAAATTGGTCTGCTTCACTAACTGAGGAAGTCAAAGATGGCAAGCATTCTCAGTTTTCATCAAGTAGTGATGATTTTTCCACTTTGAAGAGAAGTCAGCATTCCACTTGGAAAGAAAAAGATGTTTTGAGAAGGGAGACTGCTATTGAGTAAGTGTAAAACAACCTTTTCACTTTTGAAAAAGAATTACATGCGTTTATCGTCCTCATTACTGTTGTTGTTATTGTTAACATGTGTACAAACAAAATGCATCGTGTTAGTCTGCTTAAAACAGCATATAGCATATAGTCCATCTAGTTATAAAAACAAGTGACTTTTTGTAGAAATATGAATTCTTATAAGAAGTGAAATTAAGTTTGGATAACGTCTCAGTAATTGTTAAGATCATCAGTATATGCTCATTACTAATATTGGTAGATATTTGCATGTATAACCACTATCAAACTAATAGTACTCTGTTATATAAATATTTTAATTCGCAGAAAGTGCCGTGGGTGTATTTATTACGTGCATTCTACCTCGTTACGACATTTTTATTTTAGCAGCACTTTTATTCTGTGTGTCATCGGTTCATCTAAGCGGTTGGTCACAAGATGATTTGAATAGGTTCTCTTCAGGCTGAGCCGGTTCACACACACTACCGGTGGGCTCTCTTCTAAACAAGTGGTAGGTTGTTAAGTGTTTCGATCATCTCATTGAGGTAACCTGGTCACTTGATTATTCTTAGTTTGGTCTTTATTTGATCGCCTGGTAGTGTATTTCAGACACAAGTAAATGCATTTATATCTGGAAAATCTCTTTGAAAATTTTCGAACCTTTAAATGAATTGGGTGTTTTCGATGAATTCAGTGATTGTCATAACGATCTGATTAAAATGATTTCAGTAATTAGTTTTATACCCAGTTGTCCAACTGATAAGGTGCTAACTAAAATGGTTTAACTCAGGTTCCGAGAAAACCGGTGAGCGCCTAATATCGAATAGTTTCAAAATAGGAGTGAATTTAATCATCGTCATTGTGATTTTCGGCGTAGCGAATATTACCATAATATGAAAACCACCGTTATATTTAAGTTCATCAGACCATTCAGTTTAATAGCAATAAAATCTAGAATATCCGGATGGTAATGCACCTTATTTTCACTCTTAGTTACATTAAATTCAAACTAAAAGCCTAAGTAGTTGCAAAATATTACCGAGTGGGGTAACGCTTTCATCACCCACGACCGTTCGTGATCATTGCGAAGGTTCTTAGTCAGTTTACGTTTCGACTGCTTTTGGTCCTCTTTCTGGTCACTGCTAGTGGGAATGGGTCTTCTGACACTATCCAAGTCGTATGAGATCATTCAACTCCACTGACCTGCCAACTTTTAAATATATAAGTTAGCAACTGTTTTTACCACTGTTTCTGCAGCAGACTGAATATTGTACCAGGCTTCATCAGGAAAAGAACTGCTACTATGTGCAAACAAATGCTTCCCTGTCTCCTGAGATACACACTTGATGTTTTCATCTTCCAGTGGGGCACACGCAGGCGTAATTGCTGCTTGTTTCCTGCATCCGAAAATATGTGTGCGCCTACTGACGCGTGATCCAAGTCCCAGCAGGTACTTCAAAAAAGAGGAGCAATTCATGTCCACTGTCGGTTTTATGTTGGCGGACGCCGGATGAGTAATGTCTCTCCGTATGTTTGAAGTTAGTGCTGGCAATCGCCAAAACTAAGTTTTAACAAACGACCGCCATTATCGGTCCTTCTTAGTGCGAGCCCCATGAAACCTTGGAGGTGCTTTTCTGATTGTGTCAGTTTCTCTACTTGAGCGCTGAGTTCGCCCGCTGCTATTACCACATCTAAACATTTCGCTTAATGTAGCGAAGTTGACAGTTCTTAATATAACTCAGTCGTTACATCGTCCAAACTGCAGTCGGTAGGCTTGTAGATGGAGACTACACAATCTCATGAAGGGACTAAGCGTTGGGTTTGGACGTAGAGAACTTGGCTTTTAGAATACTAGAATTTTGTTTCAGTGGGTTGGATCTCCATCAATTGTTGGATGGTAAAAAGCCAGAGAAACTAAAAGGAGCTTAGTGTTGGTGATGGAAGCAGGTGATGAAAGGTAATGGATTGAAAAGAGCAAATGTGTTAAGTTGTGGTTAGATGACCTTTGGTTACTACTGGAAGCGTGAGGCGATTTGGTGCTTCCTGGCTACCCCATACCCTGAAAGTTGATGAGGTAAAGTGAAATTGCACTACTTTTGAATGACCTGAGAACCCAAAACATATATACTTGAGACTGGTCACATACTGTCTTTTAAAGAGATTTCTACTCGGAATTATTGTGCTGCGTCCGAACTAAGGAAACTCGTACGTCTAGCACCGAAAAACTGCGCGTAGAGAAGAGTGTACTGTTTTAGGGTTATCCATTTCTTACTCCTGCTTCCGGTATGGGGAAGTAATATCAGCATTAAGTGCTGGTCATTCACTCCATCCAGCTACATATACCAATTCATCCTTGAACCATGGCGGGAGTTATGTGGACTATGATGGTTTTTCTAACAGACCTTTCTGGTATTCTGGAACCCCAAAAAGCAATCGTTTCAACCAGCTTTTCTCATTAAGTCGTTGCGATATGCAAGCCCGGCCACCACATCAAGGGTTTGGCTATCGGTCGAGCACATTCCTTGCTTGGTTCATCGTCAGTGACCATACTTCATGCATAAATAATCAGACGCTCTTCATCAAGGTTTCTAGAGATTAGTACCTTGCTGAAAAGTAGCAACAGGTTATTCAAAGTGTTCTTCAAAGGATTCTATACTTATCTCAAGCTTTCTTCTCCACTGATTAATCACTGACCCGTTGTTCTACTCTGCGTTCTGATTAACCGTAGGCTTTTTTCACCAAAGTCCTCTTGGTAAACATCAGCAACTATCTATAATTGTCTATCCTCACTTTAGTTTTTGTCACCCATCGTTGCTCATGGATCATTGTGTATACTTGTCAGTCTGCATTTAAGTAGTATTAGGTTGAAGGTCAAAGGGGGTCAAACCAAGGAGTTGTACCAGTCCGTGAAGTCTTCGATTGTTGGTCTGAGTTGGGTAGCGAGGTATGGGTTTTGATGCCATGCCTGTACTGAAAAAACTAGCTATTGACTCCGAATAAGCCAAGTGTGATTTGTAAAGGATTACTATGCATGTCTGACGAAAACAGCATACATTCGTTGACCGGGATCTCCCGTTTGACTTTTATAAAGACTGAACGCTCAAAGAGTTTAAAGTGTTAGCTTTTGGAGACAAAACATACTTTTTCCTATACCTAAGTCACTGGTGCGGGATGCAAACTGGGTTTTAGTTGACGATGGTGTAGAATTATTCGCACGAAGCCCTAAAGTTCGAAAGAAGGTTGGTGGTGGTTATCAGAAGGCAGTGTAATTCTGTCGCAACTGCGAAGACGGTTCACTGTTCTCAGCCACTCCCACTGGAAGGGTTACTTTTTGAGGTATACAGGGAAATGGGGTTGTTGTTGTTGTTGGTCTTATCTACATCACAATGTGACCACGGCATAAAAAATTTGTTTTAAGCCAGTTACAGTTAAGCAGCCTTTTTTTGAGGTTTTCAGTATCCGTTTTATTGTGTGAATTCGTGTTTTAAAAAACAGTCATTCCTGAAATTTCGTGGAGAAAATTTGTGTGTATTATTTTTATTGGCGATCTTCTCTAACTCCTCCCTCTGATAAACGCAAAGTATCATCGGTTTGGAATTGTGTCCACCTTCGGGAAACAGCTTACTGCTGTGAAAAACTTAGTACGACATCATGGTCAAGTCTGATATTATTCTGTAGCTTTTTATTGTTTATTTGTGGAATTAGCTGCTTTTGGACCTAACGTTCTCCAACCCACCTTCCTAAAGTGATATCCTTCAAGCAACAAGAGTTCAAGCCAGTATGGGTTGGTGATTGATTTTTACGGGCAGTATGAACGAAAATGCCTGTGTAGTAGTAGCTATATTCAAGGTGTTGAAAGCAAACCTTGACACTGGCAAGATTGAAATTAGAAATCTTCAAGCTAATAAGTAATATGCATCAATAGACAACCCCTAAGTCGGTCATAGAATACTAAATACAGTTAGATTACTTTCGATAGTCTATCATTTTTATTTTATCACTGTTAGTTTGCATGTTTCTGTTTCAATTTTCGTAATGGATATTTCTGAATATTTGAGCTCACTCAAAATATGTTACACCTTATGGGATATGATGGATTCAGTTACCATTCAAATAATCAATTCATTCCCCCTTATAAACTGTCAACGTGTACGTCATCTAAAGCCAGGGGTAACGATAAACACTTGTTTTGTCGTTCGGTTGATGTTACATTCCTCAACTGATCTAGAGAGTTGGTGGAGTTACAGTAAGCTGATACACTATCACTAAGTCTTGCTTGATAAGTGTAGCCACGTAGTTTATTACGTTAGGTTGCACATGGTTGTTGTTTTGGCATAATTCAGACGCTATTATTCTCCAAAAGTATTTTGGTACACTAAAAATAATAATTTTATTAAGATATGATCTTAGTTTTTCGGAGTCAATGAGTGTAGATAGTCTACTTTAATTAGTGCACCACAAATATTCAGTCATTCTGTAAGTTCTGTGAATCACTTATAAATATATGTTACACATTTTAAACTAGGACTTCTTTCGATTTTTCGGCATTATATTCAGCTGCTTAGTGTGAATTCAAAGAAGTAGACATTTTAAACATTTGTTGTCTGATTATGAAAATTATATGATTAGATCAAATTCAATCTCAGTTCGTTAATATTTTTGATATGGTTGACCGTGCTGTGTACTGTGAATATTTACCGTCGAAGGACAGTTTTCACCTCTAAATGCTATCTAATCTCTTGGATTTTATGTGCTACATTCTTCCTAGTTTAACCCTGGTCACTGGGTGTCCATTGAATAAGCGTCGAGAGAGCAACTGATTGAAAATCCATTTGGTACTATGCTATGTGTCTGAATGCTTATTTCTGTAATGATCGATATTTAAAAAGGTTTTCTAAAAAGAATAAAGATTCATATTTTCCACTTTACTTCATTGTGCAAGCATTAGGGGTTCTGAGTTCCTCCATCGTGTAGCAGAAGTACTTGAGTTAGGCGTATGTATCATCAACTTAAAATTGCGGGATTTTTTATTTTAGTCAAAAGCCAGCGCTTTTTTGAAATTTCAATTTGCCTAATTTAGCTACTTCTCTGCCATCACGATGTTGACAATGAGATCAGATCTACCCCTCAGAATAGTTTGTGGTCAGTTATTATGCTGCAATGTTTAATTTTCAAACACATAATTAGCATGAATATTCAATTTGATACTGTAATATAGTGGTACTTTTGACTGATTATTGCAAAGTACTCATATCCTTGCATAACGATACATTGTCTTCTGTTACCGGCAAAACATTTTGGTAAACTGTTTTCATATTGAAACAATCTTTTTAATACTAAATTTGATTTTCATTTCTGTTGTGTGTTATTTACAGGATAAAGCGTACTGATTTTACGTATGATGATAGGTGGGTAAATTGTCAAAGTTTCTCTCTTTCGTGCTTTAATTATCCGATCTAAAGTATAAACGAAAATAAATTCATTACAATATTCCTGAACGTATTTGATGCTAGTTTTGAGCACCGAGTACTAAGCTGTCAACGACTAACATTGGTTTTCATCTCTAATGTTAGTTGATTGCTCTAAGATGACATTGACATCTATGTTAGTTGAAAAGTTGTATGGTATAATCAGTTGATTCAGTTTGGAAGTAATGATTGGTGGTTTAAGGAACTGACGTACTCATCACGTAACTTTTAAGCTGCAAAGGCTGGTACCAATCATTGTATTGGCGTTCCTTAATGCCACGTTTTCGAGAATGATTTAGAATGGAGCCGTGATGGGAAATCTACGTCTTATTCTTTTCATCTATTCAGTTCACTAGTGACAGCATAGTTATCGAAGGTTATATATATATATATATATATATATATATATATATATATATATATATATATATATATATATATTAAAACAAATGTTATTGATGTTACCAGGTAAATATCCATCAAATTATTTAAATCTTGGGGAGCAGTCTGAGAGACTAGGTTATATGTCTAAATAAGTTGGCGACTTCTTTCAGAGTTGATCATAATCTAATGATTTAACCGTGTAATATAAGATCACTGCGTTGCAGAGCCTCATAACATTGTCAATAGACCCCTTGTTCAGTCGAGTTTAGTGCTGCATTTCTATCAAATAATCAGTATCATGTTTTTTGTTGAGGCCTTTTTCTGCATAGTTTTTACAATGGATGCAGTCTCAGGCCAGGATATTTGAGAGAGAAGTTCTAATTCCAATGCCAAAATACAGTGCACCATTAAGCCACATCAGTTGGCTTAGTTTTCATACTGCTGACTTGATCGATGGAGTTTGATTGGCATCGAGCAATGAAAGCTAGAATGCTCAATGGGTTTCCCGTCGGTTATCAATTTGTGTACACAGTCCAATCTCAGAATGGGTCAATCAGCCGAAGTGACGCAGCTTCGAATCATCGGGGCGACACTGGGTGAGGATCCACCTTCGTGATTGTCAACGCGCATAAAACCTAGGTAAAGGGCATCTGGTCGGCTGACCCCTAACACCTAACACCAGAATTCTACATTCATCTTCAACTTTTCTCATTTGGTGTTTCTCATATATGTGTGAAACGTTTTGAGACTAATGAGGCTCGATTATCCGCGGTCTACCCTCAACACCCACCATCCTTAGTTATGCTCATGTAAAAACGTTAGTTAGAGGAAATCACACTAGTGCATTCAAACCTCGCCTAGTTAAATAGTTCACTAGTTCCTAGCCGGTACTAAGCCCGGATAAAGCGGGAAGCCTCGGCATAGGGCTAGCAATCCTACCCCGTAAAACAAATCCAACCGCCAAAGAAACTTCAAAGCACAAACAAAACATAAAAAATAAAAACAAAATTATTCCTCGCTGGGATCGGAGAGACGAAATGATGCCGGTTGGTGAAAGCCTTCAGGAAGCCATTTGGCCTTTGTGTCTTCTCTCCCTCGATGAAAGCGAAAGTAAGGATGGGGACATGGAATGTCCGCACCATGTTTGAAGCTGACCGACAAGGCCACCCAGATTGCAAAAGAGATGAAAAGGTATGGCATTGAAGTGTTAGGAATCTGCGAAAGCAGATGAAATGGAAGTGGACTCTCCAAACTGTTAACTGGAGATTCAATAATCTACTCCAGTATTGTCACCCAGATGACAACCACGAGCACACTAAGGGAGTGGCTATCATGATGTCCCCAACAGTATCGAAGGCTCTCATGCAGTGGGAACCAATCTCCTCCAGCATCAGGATCATGACAGCAACATTCAAATCAAAAGGAAAGAAAGTTACAATCATACAATGCTACGCATCTACAAATAATGCAGATCAAGAGAAAAAGGAGGAGTTCTACAGACAACTGTAATCAGTAACAGACAAGACCCCACTCCAGATGGTGACATCAAAATTCTAATGGGTGACATGAACGCCAAACTGGGAACAGACAACACAGGAAGAGAGTCAATCATGGGTTGAGAGGCACTCGGCGAAATGAACGAGAATGAAGAATTGTTTGCGGACCTCTGCGTATTTAATGACTTGGTGATTGGAGGCAGTGTATACAAACACAAGGATATTCACAAAGCGACATGGAGTTGATGTCACCAGACACCAGGATACACTAAAAATCAGATCGACTTTATTTAAATCTCAAGAAAGTGGAGAGGCAGCCTACTGGACACAAGGTCAAGAAGAGGAGCAGATGAAGGCTCACATCACTCACTATCTAGTGCAAGGAACCTTCCAAATCAAGTTGAAAGCCTTCAAATTAGTTGTTGATAGACCACAGTTCAAGTTCAACACCCAGAACAGAAAGTGAAGGACAAAACTACAGAGGATATCTTCACGTCAACCATTAGGACAAAATGGGAGACATTAAGCAACATCCCTGAAGAAGGCTATGTGGAAGAACACTGGAACTGTTTGAAAGAGACGTGGGAGAAAACCTGTATAACCGTATTAGGAAGGAAGAAGAAAGAAGATAAGGAATGGATCTCGACGGACACATGGAAGCTGACAGAGGAGAAGAGGATGGTGAAGCAGCAGATGACCCAGTGGATTGTAGGGATGAACAACGAAAAGAGGAACTGAAAACAACGTATAAAACCCTGGACAAAGAAGTGAAGAAGAGTGCACGGAAAGACAAAAGGCACTTCTACGATACACTGGCAAGTGAACTAGAACAGGGTGCAAGTAGGAGAGACCTGACAACATTATATCAAATAACTTGGTTACCATCTACGAAGAGATCAACTCAGATGAAACGAATGAAGGATAGTGAAGGGAACCTAGTTGCCAAAGAGGAGAGACAAAGGAAACGATGGACTGACCACTTCAAAGAACTCTTGAATCGACCACCATCACCTGCTACTCGACCAGAAATACCACCAGCAGCCCAGTCACTCAACGATCAGTGAATACAAACCCTCCGACAGAAGTAGAAATTCTGAACGCCATGAAGTTACCGAAAGCTGTGAAAGCAGCAGGCCAAGATGGAATTCCCCCACAAGCACTGAAAACAGACACAGAGACATCAGCGGACATGTTCACACCACTACTGCAGAAGGTTTGGAAGGAAGGAAAGGTACCTGCCGGTTGATTGGAAGAAGGGCTACCTTGTCAAACTCCCAAAGAAGGGAGACTCAAGTCGTTACAAGGAATGGCGCGGAATCATGCTCCTGTCCACCCCAAAGAAAATAATAAGCTGTGTCATACTGGAGAGATTAAAAAATGTTCTGCATTCAAAATTACGATCCGAACAGGATGGCTGACTGGCTCCAGGAGCAACAAACCATGTGCGGATCAAAAATTGCAACGCAACGTCATTAGCAACGCACCATCATTGAACAAAGCGTAGAATGCAGTGAAGTCTCTACCTCAACTTCTTCAACTTTGAAAAGGCCTTTGACAGCGTCGACTGAGAAGTAATTTGGCAGTTGCTTCAACACTACGGAATACCACAAACCTTTATCAACCTCATTCAACAACTATATGAAGGCGCCACATGCCAAGTGATTCATTATAGGAAGCTCAGTGATCCCTTTGAAGTGAAGATGGAAGTAAGACAAGGCTTCCTAGTATCACCGCTCATCTTCCTGATTCCGGGTAGATAAACATACGCTGTTTGACCGATGAAAATACCCTAGAAGATTTGGATTTCGCCGATGATGATTTATGTCTAATATCGCACAAACTTGAAGATCTACAGGCAAAAGCCAACAAGCTGACAGACGAGTCGAGGCAGTGAAGACGGGACTTGAAGTGAATGTAGAGAGGACAGAGGTGATAAAGATACGCAAGCAACAACATCAGCAACAAGCACCAATCACCATGAAGGGGAGAAACCTAAAGGAAGTAGTCTCTCACCTACCTAGGCAGCACTGTTTCAACCACAGGTGGCACAGATGAGGACTTCAAAGCCAGGATAGGAAAACCTAGACGGGCCTTCATTAATCTGTAACCAGTATGGAGACCTACTGCACTACACTCAGCATAAAGAACAAGATCCGGATTTTCAACACTAATTCAGTCAAGTCAGTACTGCTATATGGCACAGAAACTTGGCGCGTCACGTAAAGCACTTTCAACAAACTACAGACATTCATCAACAGTTGCCTACGCTTGATAGTGAAGATCAGATGACCAGAAAGAATAAGCAACAAGGAACTCTGGCAACGAACCAACCAAGAAAGAGCGTGTCGTCCAACAAATATGCAGAAGGAAGTGAGATGGATTGGGTATACACTGAGAAGGCCGACTGGGGACATCACGCGACAGGCCCTCGAGTAGAATCCAAAGTGGAAACTACGAATTGGGCGTCCGAGGGTGACATGGAAATCATATGAGGAAGAAATGAAAGCTTCTGGGCAGCCGTAGAGCCAGGTTCAAAAGACTGCAGAGAACGGAGTGAAATGATGACGTGCTACTGAAACCCCATTTTCCACTAGGAACCTAAGGGACAAACAATGATAATACACTGGTGCACTTTACGGATGCTTAAGTAAGGGTTATGAAGTCAAACTTATGTTTGTGTCATTACAGCTGGGTGATTTTGGTGTTAAGTTACGGTGCAACTTTATTTTAGGCATTTAATCTTACTTCAGTCATGTTTACTTGCGTTTGTTGACAGCATATGTGTTGCCGTGCATGCTAGTTTTCACTGACATACCATTACTTCTCACTAGGGTAATCTATTACTCATTTGATCATCTCAAGAGAACGGGAATCATAACCGTTTCTATGACCCATACTCAGTTTTTAGAATCCTTAAACATGAAACAAGGGTGTGAAGTTGAGTACCTTAGCCAATAAGCTGGGTCTGTAATAAACGTCAAAAAGTACCTACTGAAGATCATTTTCTCATGGAACTCACAAAGGCGCTTCCTTTGTCCACTGTTACCTGTTTCTTGTATG